ATTTACAGATTATCTTTTTAAATTATAGCCTATGTGTTATTCTGATGTATAAGCTGTATGTAACTGTAAAGTTTCATCAAAATCCGATCAGTAGTTTTTGCATGAAAGAGTAACAAACAAACATCCATCCATCCATACTTACAAACTTTCGCCTAATCATAATAAAACTATATTTAACAATGAGTTCTTTAAAAAAAATCAGTAAAGAAAAGATCACTTCTGACCGCAGAAGAAGTGGATACAAGTAGGCACTATTCGTCGTAAGACATAAAGACAGTTAATACTTATTATTGTTATATGCTATAAAATATAGAGTATTGTTGAACGCAGCGAAACGAAAATGAATACTGCTCTTAATAATGGAAGAGGAAATTAATATAATTTCCCTACTTCAGAATCTAATAGGTGGAAGTAAAGTAACTAAAATAATCCATTAAAACAAAATAGTATAAACCACAAATCTATTCTCGATAAAAAAATAAAAATAAAATAAACTAGAAAGAATACTATTGTATTCTGAACCACCACCAGAAACAAAATATTAATTGTCTTTTAGTATTTAATTTAATACTCACGATGTAATTCAGTTTATTTTAAAATATTTACATGAATAATGCTACCAAAGTAATACTAAGTTAATACCACTGTAAGTACATTAATATACTGTGTGCTGACTGGACTGAAATAGACAGCATAATGGTTACTACTTTACAAAGCTTAACTTTTGCTCAAAGATAATCCTACAGCATTTCTTATAATATGAATATCATAAAATTCAAATCAGAGGAAACTATGGTCAATTAATGGTGCATTTATATTATAACATCATCCAAATTTTCACACGATGTATTTCAACTGTTGGCTGCTGTATGAACCGATATAAATGTAAACTAAATAATTAGTATCTAAATTTCATTATTTATAAGCTTAAGTAGTGTGAAAACAATCAGTTTCACATTTATAATAATAATTGGCTGGCTCATCCCTCATACTCGTGAACGGGTGCTGCTTGTGAGGACTCGACTGTTAGGATTACGTCCACTGATTACATTAAGTAAGTATTTTGGCAAAAATGCAATATTCTATCACGATATTCTTCCTAATAGAATTTAAAAATGAATCTGTTTTTCTGTAGACATGTACAATCTCATGAACTGAAGAACTGAGTTTCTTGTCGGTTCTTCAAAGCAATCCGAACTTACGGTATATGACATATTATAAGAGTCTGTTATAGATCTACATGAGTAAAGGCATTTTGATTTTATTTTATAATTAGGATTAGTACTATAATTAGCACTAATATCTAATTATCGTACATAGACAGTACTCATTCATCTAAGTCTGTAACATCTACTGCTGGATATTAGCCAATTTCCCGATTCCACCATGTACTATATATTTTTTATAAATTCTACTTTAATAAAAAAAATTCAAAGGTTTTTATTTGATCTAAGCTCCATAAATACGCCCCGAGTGTCAATTAGGCTAAAGTACTTTTATTTTATTAACGTAGGGGGTCTTTAGAAAGTTCTGCATACAACCGTATAATTATCAGTATAATTTGTCCGTTTCCCGAAATCATAATAATGTGGCCTGATAATAAAGATAACATCTAAACTACTTCAAATACTATGTTGCTTCAAATACTAGTCGTGACCGTTTGGCAAATGGTCATGACCGGGAAAGAGTCGTCAACATGCCATTACGAGAATCTCACAACGTTAACAGGCTGAATGAATAAGGGTAATGACATGGCAGATGTTTGGAATTTGTGTACACTGTATGTATCCGAGTACATATGATAATCAAGCAATACATGGTTCAATTACAAGTTAGAATATCGGTATGTGTAGTCATTACTATAATATTTAATAATATTGCCGTTATTATAATAACTTGCGGTAGGGAATGTCCTTGATGACTTGCATTGCGCATACTATTGATACTCTGTTCTTATGAATATTAATTCATTTTGATTTGCGAAAATATTGTAGTATATGTTTTTTATTTAATTAGAAATATTGTAAAGAGTCACGTGGACTATAAGCAGATGTGGTGTCCAGTATAACAGATAGATAGTAAATATAGCTCCCAATAGAGCAGCCCTTCGTTCTTAAAAGTCAGTCTCCTGTCTAACTATCTTGGTCAAATATATCACGCCTTTTCTTTAATCGACGCACGTTTTCGGGTATTGTAAGTTGCCCAGTGAAATTATTCGGGTGCTTGTGTAGTCGTAATTTGTATTTCTTGCCGTAATCGTTAATTAGATATAAATTACTTATATACAAAAATAGAAAAGCTTGTGATAAACAAAATTTATAATAAAAATAAAAAAAAAATCGATAATACAAAACTATTTAAGTAATGTAAACTACTTAAGTTTACATTAAGTAAGTAAAATATGAATGAAAGAAATGAAAATAGATTAAGCAAAACTAGTTATATAAAAATAAGAGAACGTAATAGCGGGCTATGTTTGCCCTAAAATTCAAGAGTTACACATTATTACGTAATCGGACACTATAATGTTGTATTTATTTCAACTCAATTACCATATAATGTTAGCCCTGAACAATTAAATCAAATAATGGTAAAAGTTTCTCACGCAGTAATGCAATCCCTGCTGTGTCATTAACTGAACGCAGTCGTTTTGATTTCATATCTCTGCGGACTTAGGTACAGACAGATCGTTTTTTAGATAACAGACTGTTACACTGACAAAAGAAAGTATTCTACTGTATTCTTTCTTTCAGGCACATTTAAAATCGTTCAGATATTTTGATAAAAGATAATAAAAACTTGACAGCCTCGTGGCCTTAAATTTTACTTCCTACTCTTATAGAATACAATGTTCCTAAGTTCGAATGTAGTCGATATAAATAATTTGTCTGTCAATTGGACGATAAAAAAAACTAAAAAATATGAGTCCCGACGGTCGAAGCGGATTCGGCCTCTGACACGTTTAATTAAAATATCTTATGATTATATCCAGAGGGCTGTCTTCGCTACGACGTCGTCAGTTAATAATGTCTTTGACTACCCTATCCGCTGCTGGGGTTATGTCAGTAATAGAAACCATCACCTCCTAGAAATTCCGTTAATTCCAATTGAATTTTAATTCTCCACAGATGGGCACCTGCGTATACTGGTAACGCAGGCAGTTGCACTATTCCATTAAAACCCATTAAAACACTCTCTGGGAGACTGTACAGTCAAGAAGTTATTTATGTTTTTTTTTCCAGTAGGCGTCTGGACTCCAAATATCATAAATCTATAATAAAATCTAGTTACAATAAAACAAACGGACGGATACAAATTTCCGATTGATTGATCCCGTGACGGTCAGTCGAGAAAGTAACGCACGAACGAGCCCAGAACAAATGTGGCAGAATTCGCAATTGTTCCACAAAAGTGAGTTTCCGTAGTATTGTACCATCTGTTCAGTTAACGGGCGACAATGGTTTTTGCACAACTAGGTCTTGGTTTGTGGTCACGTTTTAGCTTAGCTGTTTTTTCTAACTGCATTATAAAAATATAGGTTCGTTTATTTTAGAATACACACCTATTAAATATCCCACTAATAAGTAATTATCTTAATGTTTATCATAATGTCAAAATAATTATTAAATATCGTTCCGTTGCCTTTAAAATTCATATAAAATAAGTAAAATATCTTTGGTGCCAAAATAAGAATAATAAGTTTAAGTATATATATAGAGATTATTGAAGACTACTTGAGAGAAAATATATATTGTTATATTTATTATTTAATTGTAATATAATATTGTCTAATTGCATTTATTTGTTTTAAGCATGGATTTAATTATTATTTATTGATTTAAAGATAAATAAACAATAAAGACATTGTGTTAAATTTATCTTAGAGGACTAATTTCCTACTACCCACATTTATTATGAAATTATATATCCATATCAGGTATAAATAATAAATAATACTGCATCGAATCGATGTTGACATTTTTATTATTATATCCGGATAATTATATTAATATTCCGGAAAATATTTGTATCAATTTTAAAAAGATACTAGGAAGATGGTTTTTCTATCTGTGTTGTATTTAAAAATCATTACTTATTAATATTTTTTGCTGTGTGTGTCTGAGCTGTGATATAATTTATTATAAATTTTAAAAAGAAAAAAGGTTGTTTTGCATATTGAATAGACTGATTGTCTCTAGAAGGACTACCTCATATCCATACGTATAATTACAACATTCATTGCAGTAGATAATATCATTTCATTTTTATTTAATTAGATATGTTTTTAATATTTTTCATCTTTAATTATATGTAACTTAATGAACATAAATTACGAGTGCAATTTTAATTAGTTTATAAATGTGTGTGAGAGTAATCTCCGCAACAACCACAGAACCACTAGAACGGACTAATAATATATTATGTAGGTTTAATCCCAGCGAATTAAAGTCGGACCCTAGTAAATAATACAGTCAGCGCTTACTTAATTAAATACAGGATTAGTGACAATAAAATATTAATTACCTTTTTAGAACTAACTAATGAATACAATTAATTTCCTTCGTACAATATATAATTAGTGTAATGACTGAAATGTATCCACTTAATCGATATTCTTATAAATACACTATACAATACAACTACATAGGTATCGCCGGTAAGAATTTAACATTACTTACAAAGAAAATACGGTGTATTAATGATTTGAAAAGTTTGAGGTTAAGTATAGTACAATAAAAATCATATAGAGATAATCAGTTATCTCATAGGTATTGTATGAATCACAAATCACTATCATATAAGTGTTACCAACATAAAAATAATTTATGTAAACATGTTTATTATAATTTGAATGGAATGTGTAACTCATTGACAATATAGAATATAATAGAAATAAATATTAATTAATACTAACAATAGTAACTATTTCATATTACAGACAAAGTGATATCAGAAATATAGAACAGTGATAAAGTAAATCCATGGAAATACAAACTTACCTGTTACTGAGGCCAACAAAACTACCAAAGCCGCCACACCTGTCGCTCTACCGCGTTGAGACCTCATCTTGTCTCTTTTCAACACACTATTCGTTTGCGTCCCCGGTAAAACAAGAAAACAGAATTTTAAATTTCGTCTTCTCAACGGTTAGTCTTTGTTTCAAAATAATAAACAATTACACTCGCGTCTCCGTTACACCTTATAGGTACAATATCATCCGATAAAGTTGATAAAGTAATCACAAATGCACAAGAAACGTCTCTACCGCAACGATATAAATGTTTTTTGTAATAATACACTGAAGTTCATCGTGATTTGTATGCTTTTCTTGTTGTTAACTAAGAAATTTGTAGTATGTGAATTGTAAAACTTGTTTCGTACACAACGGAGGAGCTCTGTATGCAACGAGCGCACGTCCGACCCACACAAACGCCAGGTTGTACTGTCGCGATAATAGCGACATGCGGCCGCTAGTGGAACTAAAGGGCGTCGGCGTTGCACAAAATAGGAACTAAGTAATGCAAGGATCAAGGCAAGTGTAGTTAAACGCAGTCGATTAATCGCTACAGACTAGACTGTGCGGTAATCTCAGTATGGGATCTAGGATCGGGAAGAGATTATTAAAAAAATAAGAGTCTCGGACTATTATATATATATTTTTGATTTCCTTTTATGTGAAAGGAGATCGAAATGTCTTGTATTTCGATCTCCTTTCACATAAAAGGAAATCAAAAATATTGGATCTTAATTCAGTACCTACGTCGTGAGTTCGTGACCATAACGGCTTCCACAAACTGGCCGTAAATTTGACTTATAATAAGTGTCTGTAATAGACCTTAGTTATCTTATTATCTAAGAACATAGATTATTTGGTATTGGTATATGTGGTAACATTATTAAAATGTTGAACCATATCGCTTTACCTATTTACCTACCTACCTATCTTCTACTGGATTGTGTTCTACTAGATATAGTATTATTATGTACAATACCTGTACAATTCACACACACAAAGCCATCTGGACTAGCTATCTAAATAGAGCTGGCGTTATGGATAATAGACAACTGATATAAATACTTAGATATTTATTAATATGTACACATAGAATACACCCAGAGCGATACAAAATGAATTCAAATGTTTGTACCGTACGAGAAATTTCATTATTAATATATTATTAATAATAATCTTGTACTACACACATAGCAGATTCATAGGATTCTAAGTGAACATAATTATATTAATATATCTGTATATTTCAGGTAGCCTTATAATTGTAATCGTCGCCTATACCTGTACTACTACTAGCCTCCTACCTTACTCTAATACAAATTCTTTCTACTTTACTACTGATGTATTTAGTTAAGAGCAATGATGGCTGGCTCGCCTGTTATACTGATGAACAGGTGCAGCATCTCCGCTCTGATAACTACGAATATTTAATTTGGTCCTTCAAGTAACTATATTTACTTTGGTGAAATTTGCAATTTGGCAGTTTTTAATCATACAATATCGTAGAAATGCTGAATATTTATTTAAAAGAGCAACGAGGCAGTTTCTCGTTCTTCTTGCGATGAGTCTGATTTCCGATTGAATGGTAGAAGCAAAATAATATGATATTCTAAAGTGCTTATATTTAAATAAAGATTATTTTTATCTATTTAAGAACTGCTAATTTAAAATCTTCATCTGATTCACTGTTCGTTAAATTATTAAGGTAGGATGTCTTAATATTTATTACTCATTCACGCTTAAATGTTTTAACCGAGTGATGATAGATATGAAAGATATGAAAATGATAATAAGTTACTTAAATGGTTAAGTGCTAATGTGAATCTAATTAGGAGACTAATATTATGTAATATGTGCTAATATGATTCGCCGTTGTTACTAGTATTGGATATTAATACCTACTATTTGTTTATTTACTACCTAAGAAGTTACTTAAAAAATTTAATATATGTAATGGAATTTTGATAGGATGTTATTATCTTAATTAAGTGGACGATACTTAGTACTTATGAAGTTTAGATTTTTATTACTCTACCAGGCTTAAACAGTTACTTAGATTAATAATTGCTAAATTATTTTCATAGTAATAAATAAATAAATAAATAACCATATACAATTAACATAGCGCCATGTAGGCACACGGTAAGCAGAGCTTGTGTTCTGTGTCTAGTACACATACTATATAGATACTTTTTTTTGTATATACATACATAATATACTTAGAAAACATGCAGACCGATACAAACAATCATACTCATGATATAAATGTTTGCGCCGTGCCAGGAATCGAATCATCGAAAATAAAGCAGAATGCTAAACCACTACACCACCGAGGCAGTCAATGATGTAGTAATGTCGTGTGGAAATTTATTATATGACGAAGCAGCTAATATATATAATATATTTATATTGCACAAAAACCAAAGTCATGCAATTTATTACATTGGAATTCGTGGTTCATTAAAAGAATAACTTACTAATATTGTCACTGTCTCTTCACAATATGTGTGTATACGCAATATAAAAGAATATTATGTATATATGCAACAAAATAATTCCTTATTTCCGTGACATTTATTTTTCCCTTTTCGATATATAAAACTGATTTATTTTTCGAAAAAGGAAATCTTAAGATCACTATGTACAAGTACAAAATCGCAGTCCTCAAATTTCATTCAGTTAAAATTAGGTCTTATTGGAATGGGGATTAAACTTTACAACGTGATATCAAAAGATATTTTGGATCTACCTTTTAATATTTGAATATTGACTAAAAAATAATAATTACTGTATTTCTTTCTAAAATAATGTGTTTCTTGCCAGTTCATGTCAACTGAAGTAGCTAGCCGAACTATAAGATAGATATAATGATAAAACATATGACGTGCGCAAGAGGCCGCATGATCCTGTGTGAATAAATGATTCTGTGTTTGACTTTGACTAATATGAATTTAGGTAGGACACCAATTTGATATTCCATTAAGTGCCCAATACAAATTATTTATTTACTACCTGAAAAATAAATAAAGAAATCCAATATGTATAACTTTAACTTATTTCAAACTATTTTCAAAATCATAGGTAAATAAAACCTTTTTTACGCCTCTGCGCCTCGCCTCTCTCTATAGAAATGGCTTAAATGTGAAAATGGATTTTTGCATTATCCTATTGTTATTCCGAACAACTTACATATAAAGTCGTAAGCATGGCTAGTAAATATATAAAATCCAATAATCTTTCACACAAAATCCTCTTATTATTAAAAATATTAAAATGATGAAAGGTGTGTACATGAATAATTCATAGCACTATCGTACCTCATAAAACCTTTCTGTATATATATATATATAATAAAATGTCACATACCGTTGTTTGTACATTAAAGAAGCCAATACGATAATTATTACAATTTTTGTCTGCCTTGGTGATCTAATGATTTTTACACAAGGCCATACTTCTGATGGTGGCAAGTTCGAGTCCTCGTTCGTTCGTCCTCATCGACACAAACATTTGTATTCTTAGGTATGATTATTTGTGTTGGAAATATAAACATATGTATATTATGAATTTACAAAAAATAACGTCTTTAAGTATTTCTAGACTAGATGATACTGTGTGAAGTGTGGGGATTATTATTATTGCACACGTATTTCGCAAAAAAAATACTTTGCTTTATTTAATACTAGATTCTCGATATTTAGCTAGAAGTCTAATTTAAAATATGTTTCATTTTAACAAAGGAAAATTTAATCCGTGTGAAGCAAGGGCAGGTCGATAGTATAAATTATAGAAGCCTACTCAGTTCACGTACTCGCCCCGCCACGAATCGTGACCGTCCCGCTAGATAAATCATAGCCGTTTACACCTAATACCTGTCTAAGCTCTACCTGACCCAAATTGCTTCAATATAAAACCTGGCACTCACAAGCTATCAGAACAGGCGCCTGCCAGACAGATAATTATGTATATGTAACTTCATATATTACTTGAGAAAGTACTATTGTGACAATTATTTTTGTATTGGATAGAAATGAAATGTTTATTGGTTGCTTTAAATATGCAGTGGTATACCAAGTTTTATATACGTCGGTATAGAATGATAGACCAACTATTCAAACTAGCATATAGCATTAATGGTTGGTCTCTCACATTTAATCATACAACATGTGTCACTCAGTGGTGTCAAGTATAATAATAATGTTATAAATGTATACTAATTCCAACTGTAATAATAATTACACTACAATTTGAACAAAATAGTACAACAAAATTGGAAATACTTAACTAGCCACTTGCAAACTGAAATAATTTCTAAAATACTACATGTATTTACATTTCTTTATTTCATATGGAACTAATTTGAAAGTACATTTTGTTCAACAAAGAAAATAATCGAATACTTACTTATAAAACGCATATTATCGCATTAAGTACAAATTAATAATATATGTATATAACTATATATACTCAACGCGAAATTAAATATTACTCATAAAATTATTCGAATTAAAACCCATTTAACAATATTAGTAATAATCAAATATCAATAATCAAATTAATTAATTACTCAAAAATATCACTGTATAAAAATTAATCCACGGATTACAGTGTAAAGATTCTATTGCCTTAATTACGAAACAAAGGAGTTTTCTTGTTAGAAAACAAAAATATAGGAAATAATGTAACCTAGTTGAAAGTAAGACTGTATCCTCTTTGACTTTATCAAAATAATGTGTATTATTCTTTCATTGAAAGGATATCGCATTCCACTGGTCTTGTCAATTTTATATGTAATATTTTAACCAATATTTAATACGAAAATTTTATAATTAATATTATAATATAATGTACCTTCTAATGAAACACACCTCTATATCTGAAAATTATGTTTAGATAATCATATGACATAAACTAACAACTTTCATTCTCAACTTCAATCATAATTGATCATAATTATGTATTCAAATATATTGGATTTGAGAACAGTTAGTCAAACTAATCCCAAATTGTCGCAGCGGGCAAGAATGAATCCCATTATTCATTTAAATATTGGTTCTTATATTTTCATCACGTCGGCAATTTTAAAACCTTTAGGTGCTGTTGTAAACGTTTATAATTATATATTATAGTCCTTAGTTTGCTATAAAGTTATATCATTATTAATTATGAATATTAGAAATGTATATCTGCAACTATCAAATAATGGAATACCATATATATAAAGATGGCTCATAGTATCAAGATGTGTTCCTGAAACTATCAGCAAATCTTAGGAGTGTTGATTATTGCTACTACTGAATTTCATAACCCTTGTATATTATTTTATTATTTATAAAACTTCCTGTACAAAAATATCGCCGTATAGAAATAAATTTATTCAGACAAAAATAGAATAAGAAAGTTAGATATAAAAGTAAA